AGGAGCAAATGTTACATGTGGCTTTAATATTGAACAACTGTGGTAGATCAAGCACACACACCCATCCACACACACACCATTACCCCCTGCCAGAACACTGTGTTTCAAGGATTATTTAAATACAGAGACTACAGCACTGTAGGAGCTCAAACGCTAAAGTTCAACAGTTAACATCCTCCACAAGGCTGCTCTTCCAAACGTATCTGAACGCAGCAAACTTCATTCATAACTCCTGAAGTCTGTGCTGAGAGAGGTCACCTGATACAGGGGAGGTTTTCTGGGAAGCTGGGATTTAAAAGTGAGTACTGTACGTAGATTGTAATGATCGCTTTTTTTCATCTCTGTAGCACAAGAGCAACACGTTGACGTCAGGGGAGAAAAGTTAAGGCCGCCAAACAACAAACAAACAAACAAACCAAACTTTTTTTTTTCTTCCAAAACGGCATCTCTTTTTTTAAACCGTCCCAGATTCAAGGAAGGGAAGCGTGTTACTTTTCTGTCTCTTTCACTGGAGACCCCAGAGACAGGATTCCTTCCATGGCATCGCTCTCCTCCCTTTCGGCAGTCACACTGGGGAAAAGCCCGGGTGGGGGAGGGGAGGGGAGGGGGAGGGTCGGCCCGTTTGTTAGTGCACAACAAATCAGGGAAAAGGCGTCCGAGGCGGCAGCCCAAAGCAGAAGCTGCATGGCGGGGTGGGGGAGAGAGAGTCTTTAACTCACCGACACCAAAAACTCCAAAGTGCCCACATAGTCCCGCTCCGTCTTCAGCAGCTCATTCAAAACGCACACTCGAAGGCGAAGCTGCTTCTCCAGGTCTTTCCCGCTTTCTCCTTTACCGTCCCCTTTGCTTTCTTCTGTCATGGCTTGCCCCCTCGCCCGCCCGCCTCAAGAAGCGACTTTTAAACGTCTCTTCCTTTTCTTTCTCCTGTTTCTGAGGCGACCGGCGAGAGAAAGTTGCGGGGAGGGGTGTGGAAGGGGGAATTGCTTCAGGGAATCCTCCGCTAAAGTTCAGAAAACAGAACAACAAAAGAGCCCCTTCAGTCCCATCGCGGGGAAGACCTTCGACGGACTCTCCTTCAGAGGAAGAAGTGCTCCCACAGAGGAAGAAGTGCGAAGAGACGCAGTTTTGTTTTCCTCTCCCCTCCCCCCCACACCCTGAAATGTCCTCTTTTTTTCCCCTCAGTAAGGAAGAGGGAGCCAGCCAGCCTGGATGGAGGAAGTGAGTGGTCACCGGCTGCCGGCTCTCTTTCTGTGACCGAGAGATTTGCAGGCTTCAAGAAGGAGCAGCAGCAGCAGCCCTTGGACATTAATCAAAAGCTTTGTATCCATGTGACTCCGACCCCTTCCCTCGCCTGCGCCAAATCTCAGGAAAAAGCAAAGGAAGCACAACCTTGGGAACGGTTGCGTGCCAACAACTGCTTGTTTCACACACAAGCTTGTGCGCTTTGAGTTTGTTCGAGGCTAATTGGAGATCTCCCAGTTGAGAGGCTGCGGCTTTAAAATGTCCCGAACGAGCTTGACTGCTGAGATTTTGGCTCTGGAGTTTATTACTCTTTGTGGTTAACAGTCCGTCATGGGGGGATGCCCCCTACCCACATATTCCCACCCACCTCACAGAAGTGTTACGTAAAAACAGTTATGGGCATAAAATATAAAGTGAATCTGTTAAGGACTTTAAACAAGGGGGTGTATAAAAACATTTTTCTTCTTTGTATGCAAAAGAAAAGGCCTCCTGCAATCAATTTACTGAAGTATTCAGCAACAACCTTCAGAACACGGCCAAAGAACCCGAAAAACCCACAACAACCATCAGATCCCGGAGGTGAAAGCCTTTGAGAATACATATTCAGCAGTTTACTCTACTTTGAGCCTGTTAACAATGCAATGAATTGATCTGGCAATAATTGTATATCCAGCTATGTTTTTTAAATATTTATTTATTTATATGCATATCCTGTTTTTCCCCCCAATAGCTGAAAGCTCCTTGTTCTAGTTACGGTATTTCCCCGAAAATAAGATAGGGTGTTTGTTATATTAATTTTTGCTCCAAAAACACATTAGGGTTTATTTTCAGGGGATGTTTTACTTTACAGTCACGTCATCTTCTGGTTGCTGCACAATGCTGCACAATGGTGGAGAGCAGGGGTTCACTTAACTGGGACTTGTTTTTGGGGTAGGGCTTATATTTTGAGCATCCTGAAAAATCATACTAGGGCTTATTTTCAGGTTAAGTCTTATCTTTGGGGAAACAGAGTAGGACTAGGGAGAGAAAGAGAGAAACTGGCCTGAAATCAACCAGTTACTTTAATGCAACTACATAGCGTGGAATATACAGTTTGATCCTCTGTGACTTGCACCCATAGAAAATGGGTTTCCCTAGGTAAAACTGCTGTAGCCACTCATACCAATTTGCAGGAGTCAGCAAGGGCAGAGGCAGACAGCTTGGTTTGCACTGAACTCCAGCAGAAGTTGTCTTGAAGTGACGTTATGTGCCTTCAAGTTGGCTCTGACTGATGGCGATCCTATGAATGAGTGATCCCCAAAATATTCTGTCCTCAACAGCTCTGCTCAGCTATTCTAAATCCAAGCCTGTGGTTTCCTTTTGGAAGTCAATCCATCTCGTATTAGAGCTTCCTCTTTCCTGCAGCCTTTTCCAGCATTGTTTGGGTGTGAAAGCTGGACAGCAAGAAAGCTGATCCATTTGAAATGTGGTGCTGGAGGAGAGCTTTGCAGATACCCAGAACTACCAGAAAGATGAAGAAATTAAACCTAGATCAAATTAAGCCTGAATTATGTTTGGATACAAAATGCTTAAATTGAGGCTGCCCTACTTTGGGCACATCATAAGTAGACTGCAATATCAGGAAAGGACAATGCTGAAAAAGCCTATCAGTATCCTTTTTACCCCTACTGATTTATTTCTTCCCAGTGCTTTCAGAGCATTTTTCACTGCACTTTCTAGAACTGTAGGTACTTCATCATAGGATTCCTCTTCAAAGCAGTTTGCTATCTCATGTATATGTCTTCAGTTTATTTTTTCCACCTTTTCTTTCTTTTCTCCTGGTAGATAGTGTGTTTTCCTATTGGTATTTCAGCATTCCTAATCTTGATTTAAATTTCCCTTTCATTTCTTGTATGTTCTGGACGATATCACTTGTTTTTCCTCTTCTATTGTTCTCTATTTCTTTGCACTTGTTATTGCAGTAGTTCTCTATCTCTACATGATGGTTGCTGAAAAGTTGCATTCAGAATCCTGACCTTATTTCTTTCACCTTTTACTTCTGCTGCCTGCTGGTCCTTAACAATTGTACATGTTTCTTCTGTAATCCGTCTATATTTTTTTCTTTTCTTTTTACTACAGGAATAGTCTTTTTGCATTCTTTCCTAATAATATTTCTGTTTCAATCCACAATTCTTCTGGTTCATGGTCAACTAAGTTAACAGTTCATGATCAGTACCATTGAGTTTGAATCCCAACTGTCCCTCTTATGGAAGTCAAAATTCATTTTCTACTTACCATCGCTTAAAAAGTGGTAATAAGAGCATTTGGAAGGTGGCCCAATGGATGTTTAGAGACAATTACAAGTGATGAAGACCAGGAAAGGTACCACTTGCTGCTTGAGAGAGACAATATTATGTGGGTGTTGTGCAGGAAAAGCCTGTGAAAATCAGTGACAGAAGATAAGAGAATATTTACAGATACTTAAACTTTAAAGGGAAAGATATGGAGGCAGTGACAGATTTTAGTTTCTTGGGCTCCATGATCACTGCAGATGATGACAGCAGCCACGAAATGAAAAGATGCCTGCTTCTTGGGAGGAAAGCGATGACAAACCTAGACAGCATCTTAAAAAACACAGACATCACCTTGCCGACAAAGGTCCACATAATCAAAGCGATGGTTTTTCCAGGAGCGATGTTTGGAAGTGAGAGCTGGACCATAAAGAAGGCTGACCGCCGAAGAATGATGCTTTTGAATTGTGGTGCTGGAGGAGACTCTTGAGAGTCCCCTGAACTGCAAAGAGAACAAACCTATCCATTTTGAAGGAAATCAACCCTGAGTGCTCACTGGAAGGACAGATCCTGAAGCTGAGGCTCCAATACTTTGGCCATCTCATTGGAAATGACCCTGATGTTGGGAAAGTGTGAAGGCAAGAGGAGAAGGGGACGACAGAGGACGAGATGGTTGAACAGTGTCACCAAAGCTACCAACATGAATTTGACCCAATTCTGGGAAACAGTGGAAAACAGGAGTGCCTGGCATGTTGTGGTCCATGGGGTCACGAAGAGTTGGACATGACTTAACGACTAAACAACAACAAACTTTGAATGCCCTGCATCAGACTGAGTTGTATTTTGAAAAACAGAAGCCTATTGCATTGAACTGAGTGAGCAGTATTTGCAGCCAGAAAAACACTGATGTTATGCATTCAGGAAAATTGTTATACTGTGGCTTACTTTAAGAACACATACCCAGAAATGTACTGTGCTTTATGTGCTCGGTTGGTGTGACATTCGCCATTGTGGTCCCTGCCTGTCTTTCCCTCACAAAAGCTCACATCATGTTTTCTTTTTGCTGCCACGACTGAATTACCTCAATCCACAATATAAATGACGTTTGTCACAACATTTGTCTTGTGAACAGAAACAGAGCTTATTTATTGTAGTGAAGCACATTGAATAATAACAGAAGTTTCTCAGATACACATTATACATAAGCAAATCATCAACAGTCCTCTCGGTACATACTTCTTTTCTCTTGCTATATCATTACCACCTTCTCTACCTATTCTCCTAACCAGCTCTATTTCTCTCAGTATCTGTTCCCTCTCTCTGACTAACTAACCACATCTGCTTCCTCCTCCTCCCACCAAGCCTCATGTAGCTGCTGACTCCGCCTTTTCAGTCCTCTTTTGTCAAAACTACTATTTAAAAAATAAAAAATCAGTGTGTCCATTTGTTAAGTGTTTAGGATATTACTAACAGAGAGACATCAATAAGACTATACACAAAAATAGCTGAACTATAAATACTATTTGCTCTAAGCTGACAGAAATGTTAGTAAGTGTGACTACCAGACATCTAAAATGTAGAGATTTATCTAGGCATTTATTTATGTGTTTGTTTGTTTATAAAATTTATATACCACCCATCTAGAATGTGTGTACTCTGGGCGGTTTACATATAACATAAAAATAAAATCCAGATTGATCACAGAGTCCAAGATGGGAAAGGAAGAAAAAGAAGAAAGAGAGAGAGAGAAAAGAAAAGGGGAGATAGGTTAGGTAATGGCTGTAGTGAAGGCCTGCCTGTATAGCCATGTCTTCAAGTTAGTCTTGAAGGCCCTTAGCGAGGGAGCCAGGAGGATCTTTGCAGGTATGTTGTTCAAGAGGGGAAGGGCCACTGCCAAGAAGGCCCAATTTCTAGTTTTTCCCCACTGGGCCTCTCTTGGAGTTAGGCCCTTCAACTGCCTGGCCTGACTGGAGCAGGTGATATGGGTAGAACTGGGTGGAAGAAGGCACTCTGCCAGGTATTGAGGACCTAAATCCATAACAGCTTTGTATGTAATGGTTAGAAACTTTAAATCAATGCAGAAGTGGATAGGTAGCCAATGTAAGGCAACCAAGGTGGGGAAAATATGGTGAAATCTTTTCACCCCTGTTAATAGCCTGGCTGCCATGTTCTGGACCTTCTGGAGCTTCCATATCACTCTCAAAGGAAGCCCCACATAGAAAGCATTACAGTAGTCTATTCTTGAGACTACAAGCGCATGGCCCAGCGTGATGAGTGTTCCTGCGTCAGGGATGCAGCTGGGTGATCTGCCAAAGATGTAAATGGGCAGACCAAACCACGGATGTTACCTAGGTCTCCATGGTAAGCACTGGGTCAAGATGGACCCCCCTAGGCTGCAAACTGAATTCTTTGTGGTGAGAGTCACCCCCCCCAAAGAGAGGAAGTTTCCCAAACCACTGACATCAGACCCACCCACCCACAAGACTTCCATTTTGTCCGGGTTCAACCTTAGTCCATTCGACTGCTTCCAGGCAGCACCCAAGGGATGGAACGGCATCCA